TTTTTAATAAAAATTTGAATTTTCGTAAATTTTAATCAAAATTGAAATTGTAATAGATTTTTAATAGAAATTTATATTTTTATGCAGAATACGAGCGTTACAATTAGGAAGAATTTACTGTACTCCTAATCAATAGTATCATTTTTTAACCTAGATTTGGAAGTTTTAACTCAGACCCAACCACGATCTAACCCAGACTTAAATGAAGTTTAAATAAGTTAATATGACTCATCTTCATCGTGTCAATATGACATCACTCCACTAAGATCTACAGTTTCATGAGTGTACGATTTTTCATTGCAAAATTGAATCTCCTTGTACAGTAAATTCTCCCTAATTGTGTGGCGAAAGATAGTATTTCATATACACTCCCCGCTAAAAGTATTCGGACACTCGCCGAAGATTAAATGAATTTGAGTGACCGATAGGAAATTGTTAGAATTTCTTCGATGCTTGTCAAAGTTGATTGTATTTAACTGTAACAAGTACATTCAGTAAATTCTCTCTTTATTCTATTCGTTTTTATAGTTGTCGACAATCGGTAACTATAAAAACGAGCCTGGGTGCTTGCAGAAATTCTAGAAAAAATAGCGCAAATTTAGACCAACAGGGCTGATGTTACCTAATTTTTTCCGATTTTTATGTCCAGGATCCTAGACAATCCAATATAAAAAGCAGAATAACCGATATTAGCTCAAAAGCTCAACAAAAATAAAGAACTAAAAAAATTCTCCTCTAACCAAATTAAACTCAAGATAGGCCATTCGAAAGCGGACTTCGAAACGATTCATTCGCATCAAGTTTCGTCCCCATATCTTTCCTAGCAAAATAGCTACAGCCAAAAATCGAAATATCAATATTCGACTCTTGTTTCCTGACGGGTGCTCGCAAAAATTACAAAAAAAATCTGACAGATCCCCACTCGTGTGACACAAGCGACGTAATTTTGTCCAACGTCTGCATCGAAAATCTTCGTTGTCCCTGCGCGGTTCTCTCAGTGGAAAGGGAAAGTGGGTAAACAAAGAATCATCATACGGATTCGCCGGACGAGGGTCGTTACCGCAATAACGGTTCGAACTGTGGGAAATGAATTCGCGCGCGAGGAGGCCGGCGTATTACCTCGTGGATTTCATTGCCGACATGTTCAGTAAATAATCGCAGTTATTCGCCGCGGTCGATCCGGCCGACGCGCGCTCGTACGATTCTAATCGGCGTTTCGATGCCTCCTGATAAACTGTAACGGCAGATATAATTATATTAAACCGAATGGCTTACCGATGGCATCGTGCTCTGGCTGTGTTGCATCGGTGCGCCTCGCCACGGGCGTTGCATAATTGCAGCCGATCGATCGAGAAAGCGTTCGACTCGCGCTTTTTGCCCGGGATGCGGCAACGCCGATTGTGTTAGACGCCTGAAAATTATTCGCGGTGATTGCATCGATCGATCGATTTTATTCGCGTCGCATGAAAATCGTCGAGATTTTTCTTAACAATTGTTCGTTTCCGCTTCGACGCGGTTTTCGTCGTCCTGGAATTGTTGACTCACTTCAATGATAGTTTATTCGAAATTTATATAAAATATTATACGATATTTTATAAAAGATATATTTATATATATATAAAATATTATAATATTATAAAATATTATATATATATTATATATAATATTATAATATTATAAAATATTATATATATATATATATATAAAATATTATACGATATTTTATATAAATTTCGAATAAACTATCATTGAAGTGAGTCAACAATTCCAGGACGACGAAAACCGCGTCGAAGCGGAAACGAACAATTGTTAAGAAAAATCTCGACGATTTTNATAAAAATTGTTTCGAATAAATTTGTATTCGACACTGTCGATTTATCTGGATACAATTTTATTCGAATACGAATTCGTTCGAATATGATTTTATTGGAATAAGAATTCGTTCGAATATGATTTTATTCGAATAAGAATTCGTTCGAATATGATTCTATTCGAATAAGAATTCGTTCGAATATGATTCTATTCGAATAAGAATTTATTCGTACAGGTATTCATACGAGAAATAACTGGTTTAAATAAAAATGATAGAATACAAAGTGAAAATGTGACAACTTTTGATTTAAATTGTACTGTATTAATAAATGTCACTGTCAGCAAAAAATTATTCGTGTATTTTTAATTGGTAAGAAGATGAGGAAATAATATTATGACCGAATATTAACACTTTGACTGCCGCGTCACCCGTATGCGGATGACGGAATTATTTAAAATTTCATTTCCATGCTTATCCATAAAAATTTCTTCATTTTATTAAGATTCACAATTGGTAAGAATGTTGAAATAGTTGTCGATGTTATACAATTTTGCTTCGCAAGTTTAATTTAATTGATTAAAATACTTGAATTCTATGAAATTTTTAGATGCTTTCGGCGCGGTCGTCAATGTGTTAATGAGAATAATAGTTATTATTAGACTGCGGATTTTATGCATGTATGCCAAAAATGTGTGCAAGATAGTAAAAACGTATTTAAACAATTTGAAAATATTATGTCCAACTTTTATATTGCATGAACATCCGCAATCTGGTTGTCACTAAACATTACTATTTGCAATTATATTATGACTATTAAATTACATAATAATTATTGTTACAAATCGCGAAAAATTCTGAAATTAAAAGAACTGTTGATTCGACGATCTCTAAACTCGGAAGGGTAAACAATAAGGCGATCTAACGGTAAGAAATGAATCCTGGTAAGCGTATTGTGAACTTTTGCAGGCGCAGGTGCCGTGCAGGTGCGAGCCTGACCTAGCCCAGCGGGGAGCCTCGAGAATCAAACGCCGGTAGAAAGAGAAATGGCGAACGGAAGGAACGAGAGCCAGCTCCGAGAGCTCGAGGACGACTTGTGACCGCTCGGTAAGCAATTGCGCTCCTCACACGCGTCGGTACCGGAAGCTTGCACCCTCCAGCGAGGATCAGTTCATCCTATAACTTCGCTGAATAGTTATTTCATATTTTCTTCGCGCGAAAATCGCATGATTTCTGCTAGAGAACTTTCGAAACACTCGGAAATTGGTATTTCATTAAGATTTTGTTTTTGATACTAGGAACACCGGCTGAGTTCCAGATTTTTAGAGTGTTTTGCTTTAATTTTTTATTATAAATATGTATCTGAATTTAATTTTTGTTATTAATTTCTGCATGAAATTAATTTTTTTTACACAAATTTGTAGATGAATTTAATTTTTATTATTAATTCGTACCTGAATGTATCTTTTTTTGTAAAATTTTTTTTTTAAAACAAACTTAAAAGCTCCCTCTTAATGTTATTAAAAAAATAAAGATCGCGACACATCCCAATGTACATTAAATTCCTTATAGTAATAATAACGACATTGTTTATGTAAATGAAAACAAAATTATATTCTGTATATTTTTTAGCATTGCTGCAACAAATGCATTTTTTTTAGTTGAAATATTTCAAACATTTTTCTTTCGTAAGGACCTTCGTGATTCATACAAATTTTCTCTGAGGAAAGATAATCACTCGAACAGTTTGCAGTCGCACAAAATACTAACTGAATACGCGTCCGCTGCCCGTTACGATCGAGTTTTTGCGGTTCAATAGTGAAACGCTACGCGAAAAGCAAAGCAAATGCAGTTTATTGTACCTCGGATACCTAGTACCTTGCTCAGGTACAAGAGTCATTTTTTATTGCAATGAATTCTACGAAACTGTACTACAGCCAGCTACACACTGCGATGAAACTATAATACACTCACGAACATTGTGAAACGTTCTATGTAACTTAGAAATTTATGTTTCTTTCACTGGTAGTATTATCGTTTATACTCTAAAGAAGCATGTCGCTCAGTTGTATGAAATGCAAATACTCGATCCGCGACAAAACTATACGAACGGCAAACTAAACACTGCGAAAAGAGATTTTTGTTTTCAATTGTTGTTATTAGGCGTGCAGTATTAAATTAGAAATAAACTAAATGCAACGGAGATCAATATAATTAACAAATTAAAGAAGGAAAACTATTCGATGCGAAAAAATGCCCATATGAGCCGTTTATTTTGAAAGTGGCATAAGTCACTTTTTAAGTCGAGATATTTAAGGGTTTGCGTTTTGACACGTTTAAAAATATGGATGCTAACTTTCGAGAAGATTTACTTGTATTTGTTATCTCAGGATACTGATATTTTTCGCAGTATAAATAATTTCGTATAAACATTAAAAAATCACCACTTTTCATTACGGTAAAGTGACTTAAGCCACTTTCAAAATAAATAGTTTAGAAAAATGACTGACATATATTAATTTTGTCCGACGTATTTTACTGAAGCGATGTTTTGAAAGGACAGTGATTTACTAAAATTGTTGAATAAATTACATATATAATAATAATTTATACCATGAACATATTTAATATAAAGGTTTGATTTAAGTATTTTTTATTTTAATATTCATAAAATACAAAAATAATTAGTACATTTTGAAACATAAGTATAAGTAATTTATATGAAAATACATCAGTTCAATTTAATTTTCGTCATCAATAGGAGTGATTAAGTCCTCGGAAATCGTGTTTTGTTTCAAATTTTTTAAATAACTGTGGTATATTGGGGGTATATAATTAAGCAAGTCCATCATGTCTTTGTATTTTGCTGAAGAAACAGGACGAGATCCAGCGTATAACGGATCCATTTCTATTTGTGAATAACGCCTAGGTCTTCCTCTTTTTGGTGACAAATCCAAAGTTAGAAATTCATCTTTTTCATCTAAAGTTAGTTTATAAAACATTTTATAGCCATCTGCTGGCGGGTCTGGAGGTAGCCGCCACATCACTATAATATAATTTACAAAACTGCACTATTCTTTCGCACTTATAAAAATAAGTCCAGTGATCACAACTTTTTTAAAAATACTGAAAATAATTCAAAACAATACTTCACACACACTTATCACACGTTTCTATTTCTTTTACACTAAGCCCCGCAATTCATTTCCTGAGTACAGCGACTTACGCCACTTTCAAAATAAACATGTTTGTTATACCGTTAATTAGCAAAACTTCTCTCGAACAAATCTCAATAGTTCTCAACTTATTGATTGCAAATTTTTAAAAAATGAAAAGATACCATTCAATTGTAATTAGTGCTACCATTAACTCGATATTTCTGAAAAAGTGACTTATGCCACTTTCAAAATAAACGGCTCATATATTAGGGAGAAATTGTTGCGTAGTTCATAACTATTTAAAAAGTAAAGACAAATATGTTTTAAAGAATCCCGGTGGCCGTCCAAAATCAAGAACTGTGCGATGAAGGTGACAAATTTTATGACGCGCTTCGAATTCTACAATGACAGCATGGCAAATAACAGCGAAATCCGATGTGAGAGCGAGTATGAGAACAGTGCAGAGAATAATAAAGGGTTCCAAGCATTTTTTTTTTGAAAAGACTTAAAACGAAGAAGAAACCGCCATTAACTGATAAACATAAACCGGCCAAATTTGCAGAGCATCGGGTACATTGGCGTTAAAAGTGGGAGAAAATAATCTTTTCTGACGAAAAGCGTTTTAATTTACTGACGGCCTAAATTATTATTCTCCTGATCGGAGAAAAGAAGAAATTGCGTAGCCAAGGCGGCAAATGAGTGGCGGTAGTATTATGATGTGGGCAGCTACTATGAAGATACTATGGAAAGACGGATATTGAATTTGTTTCTACAAAAATGAATAGCAGAACGTACGTGAATATCGTTAATAGGCAACTATCGAAATGTGCAAACGAAATAGCTAAGCGAAAGTACAGGGTTCCCCGGAAAGAATCATCCGATTTCAAAAATTTATATTTTAAAAAATGACACACAGAAAATTATAATTCAAACACGAATATAACGGGAAAATGTGCGAGTTTTACTTTTTATTATTTTTTTCTCATGTACCAAACCGTTGGATTGGTCGCAGTTCATCCGATAATATGGTTCTACACAGTTGGCCTCCGAGATCACCCGACCTAACCCCATGCGACTTCTTCCTTTGGGGATTTGTGAAGGATCTTGTCTTTGTACCACCTTTACCTACAAGTGTAAATGAACTGAAAAAACGCATTTGTGATGCTGTACAAACAATTACCAGAGATACATTACACCGTGTCTGGCAAGAACTTTCATATCGCAATGATATCATACGTGTAACGAAAGGAAGTCATATTGAACACTTGTAAACAAAAACTCACACATTTTCCGGTTATATTCGTGTTTGAATTATAATTTTCTGTGTGTAATTTTTTAAAATATAAATTTTTGAAATCGGATGATTCTTTCCGGGGAACCCTGTATACCTTTCAACAAGATAACGCAGCTGCGCGTACTGCAAGAATAACACGAATTTATCTCGAAGATAAAAATATAGATATTTTACCATGATCAACAAGATCGCAGGATTTGAATATAATTGAAAACTGTTCGGGAATGCCAGCTGAGAGAGTATACTCAAGAGGAAAGCAATTTAACGCCATAGAAGAATTAAGAAAAGTTCATCGAGGATACATGGAAGAATTTGAAACAAAACACTATTCAAAAACTGTACAAATCTTTACCACAAAGAATGTTGAAAGCAGTAAAAAGGAAGGATGGAAATACACGTTATTACGAAGTAACAAAAAGGATTCTATGTGTTGATTTTTTAGAGAAAACACCACCTGTCTTATAGTTTCGTCGCGCCCGTTTTTCTTATAAATTGTTACCATTACTGTAAAACAGCAAGAATACTGGTCAATTTTGTATACGTTACTACAGAAAGGTATATATTCATATACAAAAACTTTGTGCACGTCTCTGGTTTTAAAAAACGCTAGAAATTCGGGAGCGTCTTATAGTTTTGTCGCGGTGTGTACTATAGACGATCAGAAAAAAGCCTTCGACGCTTATTGGCATCAAGGATCGTATTATAAGAGACTTAGTTATTTAACCCTAGAAAGATAACCATATGACAACGTACGTAAAAGATAACCATACGCTTCAGAGGCGCATGCTTTTCTAAGGCGTCAATTTTATACTAACAATGGATATTTATTTAAGTTAATCTAGTCATTTTAAAGGTTTGGCATTATTGTAAAAATAAAATGCATTTATATTATATTTTTTTATATTTTAAGTAATTTTAAACTTAAATCACTAGACCTCTATGAAAAATTAACAAAAATCAACAGTCTTCGCAGGCGCCTCTGCGACGTAGGTTATCTTTCTCGGGTTAAGTAGATTAATAAAAATCAAAAATTAGGCGCGTTCACGTAAAAGGGACACAGGAAATGATCGTATTTTGCGAAAGCATAGACTGCGTTACCATGTTGAATCGCGTCTCATTAAAACGTGTAAAAAATATTTCCTGTTAAAATTCAACGAAAGCGATGGAGTTATCAGAACAAGTAATTAAGAAGATTTCTTCGAACGAAGTCGCGGATTGTTTTCGCGATGAAAGAGGAGCGACTGCCCTCGCAAACAAAATTACCCGAAGAATAAATCGAGGAAGCGAAGTGTTGTATTAAAAATGTTCCGGCTTGTGAAAGTCATTATTCAAGATCACATTATATCTCGGAAATATTTACCGTCCAGATTGAATGCGACAATAATGCACGATCTTTACAAATCGGAAAATTCACGCTCGTTAAGCGTTTCAACTTACAGAAAGATCTTAGTTTCGCCGCGGTGTATATAGATCGACGGAACAGCTCGCTTGATAATAAGACGAAGCGAGAGCAAGTAGAAATTCTTTGAACAGCGTAATACGATCACACGGCAAAATAATTATCACATTACGGGCGACCATTAAAAGCGGGTGCCTAAATCACGGCGAATGGAACGCGTCGGGCAACGAACAAATGAATGGTTCCGGTAATTGTTTGCGTTCGTATATGCTTTCGATTTAAGTTCCACATTAAATTCGTGACCCGAGGTAGCGAAACACTGACCGCGGAGTTATTCGAAATAATTGCACTTCCATATAATGTGTTTGTAAATATTAACCAACGATCCTGGCCGACTAACCAC